AGAACATAGAAACTCTAGTCTATTGTACTTAACTAGGTAATGAATCATCAAAAAGGTACCAACATGGATTGACACGGATGGAAATGCTACCCAGAGCATATTAACCAATTACTGTCTAAAGAAATAACTGAAAAAGGAACGTAATCACTCAAAACAATTGTAAAGAATTAATATCTTTCACGATTACCCAAAGACATACTGACATACTATCCACGGCCAGTGTAAAACCATACACAATTGGTCTGTTTCAAAAAAATAAACCCCCAAAGAGGGGAAAGGCCTGGAAAATAAATGGAGATGACATAAAAAGCTATAACTGAAAAAGTTAAGGAAGCCTCCAGTGGGGCAGTAAGAAATCATATAAAAATCACTTTGAAAGTAGCAGATAATTGTGGAATTGAGGCACAAGAATGTCAACAAAACTAGTATGTTTAAAGAAAAGTGGAACAAATATTAAAAAAAAATAAGCACTCTTGAAATGAAGTAATTTATATCACGAAGTTTCAAATTAAAGGAGTTGCATGTATCCCAGGAATATCTGATACCACCTGTTCGATACCATGATATGACACAGCAAAGTTATTTGGAAGGAGGAACAACATGGGAATTTCAACAGGAAAAGAGCATTCCAGCCAAGGGAGAGAGTGCCCTGGGAGCTGCAGGCTTCACCACAGTGCCATTAAGGATCAAGACAAAAGAACACAAAGTTCCGAGAAAAAAAAAGTAGCATTTTATTCCTAGATTTCTTATTGTGAAAAAAGAAAATATTCATCCAAGAGCACAGGTCAAAAACCCCAAAACCAACTCTTTATGACAAGTAACATGTACTTCTTTACAAGATGATGGCATGGGTACAGACATGTTTGTGATGAAAATCTAGGACTAACATGATAGTTCAGATGTTCTGCATTATGAAACTGTTCGGAAATACAATTAGAACATTAAAAAAACGTACCCTTTCATGAAAACACATAGAACAATGAAAAATATGATGTCTAATAATAATAATAATTAAATGGGACTTTGCATAAAATAGCTGCTTGGTACTAGGTATGAGAAATGGTAAGCGTGCTCATGTGGGCACTGACAACAACAGGTCACAGGGCAACCGTTGTCCATAAATAGGACTCAAAGGATCCAAGTTCGGGTCTCACTCAGCCTCATTTCAGATGTTTTCCACAAAAAACCCCTCTCAACAAGAAGAGCTTCATAATATGAAAATACACATATATCATATTATATCTTCCAAAATTCAAAGTGGAATGAGAAATGGGGCTCTGAAAATATCTGTCACACCACTATTTAAGTAATGCCTAATCAATAATTTTCTCAGAATTAATCTTTCATTCCCTCACTCTTTATTGGATTTCTTGGTGGTCTCAAGAATGAAAAAAATAAAAAGTACTTTAGAGCATACTACAAATAAACTTCATGTCAACTCATGAAACTTTCCAAATGCTCCTAGTTGCAGAAGATACCTAAATTTGTGTGTGAACGATTGAAACACTGAAAAAAAAAATGTTTCTAGAAAGTTCTATTAAAGGCAGTGGCCACCGATTTAAAACAATAATGTAGAAATATGATACTTTGAAAAATATATATGTATAGATATTTGTGTGTGCATGTATAATTCTTGGGGATTATTTGTATTTTCCATTAGAATGAGACATAGTTTGAGTCACTCCATTAAGAAATGCATAGGCTTTTCCATAAATGTATGTATAGTGTCAGTTTGTTTTTGAAATTTTAAACAATTTGCACCTGATATATTCAGCTTTTAGTTCCTTCACCAAGGCATTCAGCACCTAGCATATGGTATACAAGATAGAAAGTGAAGCAGGGTGCAGCTTCACAAACAAGGCAGCTGGCGGATTTGACAGCTCTTTTCCAAATTATTCATCATGTTTTGAGTTGCTGCTAGGAAAAAATGTGTTGCCCATCTCCAAAATAGATGTTCTTTTTTTATGTTTAAGCTTCTGTAAGGGTTCCAATAGAAAAATAAGACAGATGGGTATAGGAAGTATGCTATTTTTGCCTCTTTAGACCATTTTCCCCTCTCAGTTCGTTCATCAAAAGATTTTTCCAAATAAACAAATGAATATTTCCACAATTCATACTTAACTATGTCCAGAATATATTTTTGCTTGTCATAAAAAAAAAAGAATGCTTCTTGGAACAGTACAAAGCCAAAAGTAGAGAAAGGACTGGTACATTTTTAATGAGCAATGTAGTTGTAGTGTGGATTTTGAGATAACTAGTAAATAGGAAAAATGGATTAGAGGGATCTTTTCACAGAGTTGTTGACATTAAAGATGTCTGAGTAAATCTGATACTGGTGAGGCATGCTTGAATACTCTCAGTAGTAGTTCCCATATTGGGAATATTCTAAATCACCTTTTCCTAAAATCTGAAAATTGCATTCCTGTTTTCACTGCAATGCAATTTACATATAACATCGAATCCTTTAACTCACATGCAAGGTCATTCATTTGGAAAAAAAATAAATCTCCAATTTAAGAGTTTACAAAGTTCTCTAAGTAAGATTTTCCACACAGGCCACCACAAAGTTTGAGTTCCACCCTGTAGAATACCCTTATGTCATCACCGAAAAGCTTCAGATTTGAATAGCTTGACTTGAATAATAATACAGTCTTTCTATGATTGGTATATTTAATTTATTATTTCAGTTGACTTGCATTTTCTGATTCTACAATGAAAGTGCAAACATCTATAGTCCCTGCTGAATTAAAATTGATGCATGATGATGATACAAAGGAGAAGTATGCTAATTCCCTCATATTCAGCCTCTTCTTCGGCAATCCAATAGAACTGCATCCAACATTCAGTTTCCAAAATTAATAGTAGTTGTCAAGCTTAAAGTATAGTTCTTCATATTTCTTAACATTGTCATAAGTCATTTGAGATAGATTTGTGAAATGACAGACTTTCCCAGAATAAAGTACAATGTGTCAAGAAGCTATTCTTTATTTCCAGTCCAATGGGAATTTAAGAAATCATTTTGAACAAGAATAAAATAGAAATAACTTTTGAAACACCTTGTGGTTGACAGATAACATCTTAGTACTCTGTGTATACCACTTTTAAAGGATTATAAATTCACTGGAAATGATTAACACTGCTCTTTGTTCTAGGAACTTGTGGAGAAATATAGATCAACTGGTCATGTTTTACTGGCATAATTTTATAAATATTTACAATTGAATAGATTTTTCCTATTTATTTGAAAAGTTATCACCTCAATTACTGTCGCTGTTAAATGAACCATAATTTGGGGGTATTCCTTTCCATTCTTCATATTTGCAGTTGTTCTCAGCTGATCTTCTATCTATATTCATCATAAAATCATAAGCTTTTAAAATCTCAAATAAAATGTGAAGATATTTTTATTGCTTACTCAGTAAGAATTCCAATTTCTAAATCTTCCAATTAATATTTTTAAATTAAATAATATCCACAATTTTATACAAATAAAGTCTACTTACTTGGGGAACAATTAAATGGGGCTGTTTGTGGACCTGGGGCCTAATTCACAGATAATGACAGAGGTGCTCTTGCAGAGTATTCAGCTAACCTACTGTCTGCTCTCCTTTGGCTTTTTATGTGTTATCTCATTGTTTCTCATTTTCTTTTTAATTGTGGATGTCATCCCACAGACACAAAACATTGTTAATGGGAATTCTTACAGAGGCAAGAAAAGAGGACTTAAAATGCAGCATCATATTCCTCAATTTTCAATCAATACCAGTTTAAAAACTCACAACTGATTTAACACTTGTATTCTGACAAAAAAAAAAATCACTGTAGTTTGTTTCAACTATGTGAATATTATATTTTCATTTCAGAAACATTTGACTGTGAAGTAGAATGTAGTTCAGAAATTCTGAATGAGGATTATTTTCTCCATATTATGGGAGAAGCAACTGAAAGCTGGGGAGAGTGCACGTCTGAGGAGAACTCTGCTGTGAAAATGTAGACCATAAATTCAGACTTCTGTTTACTGGATTTGTTGCCCATGTAAGAAAGTAAGTCTGTGGAAGTTGCAACCACACAGGAAAAATATGTCATGGATTTGTACCAATATATATCAAATGTCAACATGGTCAAACTAGTATATTAAGAAAGCTTTTGAAGCAAGATGGACAATTTATATAGTTCAAAATTGAATGAGCTATCGAAGCACAACTAGGTTTACCAAAGAAATAACGCAGTACATCATTCATTCATTCATCGATTCGTCTATTATGCACCCACACATTCATTCACTTACATCACAATCATAAAGAATTATTTACTGGCATGTTAAACTGAAATTTAAAAGAGATGCACATTTTAAATCAATACATTAAAAGACTATATATTCCAAATATTTATGAAGCATTTAAGCTTCTGTAAGCACAAGCTGCTTCAAGCCAAATGAAGGGCAATATGTGCCAGCATCACAGACACAGACAGTCCACATCAGCACAGCTCACCTCTCCCTCTACTACGAAGGAAAGCATCTACATACAATCACTGGAAGTAGTCTACTTAATTTTATTGAACAGGCATGCAGATAATAAGTCCAGAGCAACTGATTCTTTTCCTAAAATAGCTTAAAATAAAAAGTACATAAAGCATTAGGACTTCTTAATTTAAGTTCTTATCCTTTATCTTACATAGTGTCAAACATAACTGATAATTGAACAGTTTTTACATTCAAGAAAAATAGATAAGTTTTGCATTTTTCCTTAAAAAGTCGGCAGCATATAGCATTAATTATCCATGTGCTCTTTTACATAAAACTATGAACTGCTTATTCCTATGTAGCAAATATCACTAAGGTTTATCAAAAAATCAAGAGCAGGTTTTAGAGCAGACAGTCCCATAGGTAACATTTTAACACGAGTCAATAAATATTTCATTCTGTCAAATCCTGCTATGCGTGAATTATGAAGCATTGTGCAAAGCCATGCTAAATGGATAGAAGGATGGCTACTTACCAACAGGGCGAGCTGTAGACATTACAATGGTGTGGTGAGAACATAAAAAAGAAATTAAAAAAAAAAGAAAAAATTATCAGAATGCATGATGTGTAATGTCACATTTAAGTATGGACAATAGAGTGATTCTAGCCTCATAATTCAAGTATGATACAACTGCAACATATAATTCTGAGGCTGATTATTTTGAACTTCACTGTAAGCTATCGCCTGAGAGATATTTTACGTAAAGTCTTATCATCATCATCACTTACTATAGTCATTATTTCAAAGATTTTGCGTTAAACAGTCTCATCTGGCCCTGAAGTTAAGAACCTGATGAATATAACTATTCCAGTCACAGACCAGCAAATGTCATGTCAATACAGAAAGGTCTCACTGTCTGATTTAAATAGCAATTGGATTTTAAGCATGGTTAGTCAGAACCATTACAAGGACTAAAGAAAAGCCCTTGATGTTGCGTTTCAGTCAGTAATAGGTTAAACCCACATCACTTTTCATCCATGGACAGGGTGGATGAATGAAAATATAACAAATAGATTGGAACGTCCTTGGAGATTTCAACTCAGCAGCTCCATAACTGCCGGTTTTCTTCTTTTTGGCAGAGGGCAGGAAACAATGACTGACAAGTTGATTCTTGTTCACACTGAGAATACCTTTCAATCTGCTGCTTCAACACATTATATTATTTTCATTATACCATAACTTTCAATCACTAAAGTCAATAGTAATGGGCTGTCCTCATTATGAATGAAGTGAAATTGAAGAAGTATACAAAGACTTAAATCAACTTTGTTTAAAAAGCACAGTCTTTTAAAATAAACATAAGGTAGCAAAACATTTTATAGAAGTACAGTGCACAAGTATTATAAAGCATGGTATCCAATTATCCAAATGAATATTTGGTATTTTTAGTAGCATTTGAACTTGTATTAAAACATACATTAAAATGATAAATTTTCCAACAAGTACTTCACCCATATCCCACTGGATTAAGCCTTTCCTATAAATATATAACATTCCTTTGGAGCTGAGAAGAATTTGCTGTTAATGATGATGCCTTGGGCATGGCTAGACAGATGCAACCAATTGAACACATATTTTTTTACTTTTATTTTATTTATTCATTATTAATATTATAGTATTATTTTATGATATAGTTCCATAGACCCTGAAAATATATATTTTTTTGTTCACACATAAACTTAGTATGATTTGTGTGTAATCCGTAACAATACAGTTGCCTCTATAATGAGTCAGCATCTTAGAATGCTACTCACAATTACAAGGGGGCGCTTGGGACTAGCTTGTAACACAAATGGATAAATAGCCACTTCAATGCTAGAGCTCTGTTTCTAATCAAGTTCATTGCTAATGTGCTGTTGAAGCAGTACAGAATGGTCCAAGGACTTGTACCCTTCACCAGCCACATGGGAACTGAGAAGAAGATCCTGGTTCCTTCTCCTAGCTTTGTCTGGCCCCAATCTGATTCTGCAGCCATTGAGAAAGTGAACTAGCAGAGGATGTCTATGTCTCTCTCTCTGTCTTTCTCTCTCTCTCTTTTTATCTCTCTCCTTCTACCTCTCCATATCTCCTGTTCTTTAACTCTGCCTTCCATTATCTAAATAAGTAATTTTTAAAAAAGAGGAGGTGAGGGAGAAAATAAAGGCAGCCCAAAGACAGAGCAGCTGAAAACTCTGGCTTAGTGAAACCATACTTTGTCCTCCACTATGTGAGAGCTTCAAAAAGTACATTCAAAATGGAGTTGAAAGAAAAGAGATATGACCCGTGATCTCCTCAAGGTGAGTTCTCATGCTTGTGTTCTAGTGGCAGGAAAAGAGAAAAAAGTAAACTGGACTACGGTTTCTTTTTTTCAATTCATTAGCAGAAAAACACAAGGCAAAACAAAAGACTGCAAAATTGTTCCTGGGCCTAACTGTTGCAATTTCTTTCTCTTTTACCTTAATATATAATTTCCGAAAAACCAAATCTGTACTTCCCTGGAAAGTTTCATTGTAACCCTTACTATGCAGAGCCATTTAAATAATTTAAAATAGTTATAATTATTTCTGAGATATTTTAAAATTTCTATTAGTGAATTATTTGAATATAATATAAAGCAACTTGGCTGTTGACTACTATTGTTTTTAATTTTGCTTTTGCCAAGTCAACAAAAAAATAACTTCACATTCAGCTTTATTTACAACCTATATGTCCCACAGTTTTAAAAAAAAGTGAAACTGCCACAATTTTTTCACATTGTGACTATAAAACTCCCTTATCTTTTTGCAATTGACTTTAGGGACTATTATGATATTTTAGCAGAAGCATCCCAATAAACCTTCTCGTCTTTGTCACATAGCAACATTTTATCCTAAAAAAAAAAAAAAAAAGAAAAGAAAAAGAAAAACGCAGGTGGGTATTTTCAAAATCAGCAAATTAAACTAAACTGTGTCCCCACATTAAATGGAAGAAAATGGACATGGCCTCTTGGGTCAGTTGACCTTGTTGTAATAAAACAATCCAGATAAAGGCTAAACACTTCATTTATGTGCATAGAAAAATGAGCCCAGAAAAAAATACATAAGTCGCAGATAATAGCATTTTCCCCCTATTAACCTCTTAGCATGAGAAATCCCAACTGCTTTTCCTAATGGTGAAAAATGTTAAAAACATTTTAGTCCAACATATATTATATTACAGAGGTTTTTTTTTTATTTAGCCCTGTTTTTCATTTCCAGTCTTAAATGAGTGATAAACACATACTACCTAGAATATTCTAATCCATCAATGGGGTACAGTAAGAAATATACACTATAGTATTTGCAGATTTAAAGAAAATATAGTTTTAAAAAGAAAAATGCTTTCCATTAGTTTGCTTAAAACAAATGCATGAGGAGCATAGATTGTTAAAGCAAAGGGTAAGCATGGAACTTTCAACAAATTATGAAAACAATTAGTTGGCAAAGCTCTTAAAACAAACAGATCATTTCACGTCCCATGCATCCAAGCGTTCAAGTGTAAAAGGAACCTGCTGCTTCTGAAAACAGTGGCTCACATTTTCTCATTCCTAGTTTGTTTAGTCAGCAAATAATTTTTGAATGGGACATTTCTGGTTGCTTGTTTTGCACTAGCTTGTTTTCTTCTCTGCCTCTCTCTGACACACACACACACACACACACGGAAACTTTGGAGGTAATTTAAGTGAATTATTAAAAAAAAAAAGGCTGCCCTGTTAAAGACAAACAAATAAAAGAATGTGCAGAGAAAGCATTAGAAAAAGACACAGGAGAGAGAAAGAGAAGAATGGAAAGGGCTCTTTCATCTACTAGTTTACTCTTCCAAATGCTTAAGCAGCCAAGACTGGGCCAGGCTAAAACTAGAAGCTTGGAACTCATTTAGTTCTCCCTCTTAGTTGCCAGGGACTCATCCGCTAGAACTACCTTTCGCTGCATCTAACGCTCGTCATTCACAGGAGAAGTGGATTGGCTGTAACTTGAACTATATACTCTGACATGGGCGGCCTGTTATCTCAAGAGTCAGTTTAACCAGGGTGCCACAAGCACACACAGGGAATGCGGATTAAGTCAAGTATGCTCAGGGACTTATCAAGGCTGTAAAAATTTGGTCATGTGTAAGCAGTATACACCTTCAATTCCAATATGCATTCACAGCCCTTTCTCACCTGTTAACCTACCAGTAGTGAAAATACTTTTAAGCAATTAGGTTTCCAATTTGTCTACATTTTTTTTATACCTAAATTCACTTTAGGGTGGCTGATAAAGAGAAAAATAGATTAGGTGGAATAGAAAAGGAGTAACTGAGAATTATGAAATGTGTCAATATTTTCCTAGGTATCCAGTGCTTCTGTCTCTTAACAGTTAACTGGGGACAAATAAATTTTCCATGAATTGAAGTCCAAATATAAGTGTGGTAAATGTCATTTTTTTTTTCTTACCAGAAAGAGGAGCAACCAGAGAATCCCCGACCCATTTCTTGCAACTCTAACCATCCTCTTCCCCCACTGCCTCCCCCAACCCTTCTCCCAGTCTTAGACAAAAAAGCCCTGGGAGCAAAGCTGACCAAGGCTAAGAGGTACAACTAAATGGGTAGAGATGGAACTGAGACATGGATGAAAGGTTGTGGCCAATATTCTAATCTTTTAGGTTAGCACGAAGAGGCACAATTGCGAACAGAAGCAGGATTTAAAGACTGAACCAAGGTTGAACTTAGCTATCTCTGAAGTTTTCTATCAGTGAAGCATGCCATGAGTAATTCTATTTGGCAATAGTAAATGTAGCTGTCTGCATGGGAAGACTTGGTAACTAGGACTCTATCGTTTACGTCATGTGATCAACATGCACCACCAGGAAGATAATTCAGAAGTGTGGGACTGCAATGTTCTCTTTCATAAGCAAATCCAGAGAGTCTACAAATGAACATGAACCTATGATTGAGAAAATGTATGACACCCAGGAAGTCAAAGTTCTTACAAAAGTGGCAATTTCAATTATTTAAGGGAAATGAACTTTGTAACTCACTCCCTAAATTAGATTACCTCAATGCCACAGCTCCTCTGTCCATTTTTTTTTACATTTGGGGGCGTTATTTTTTTTTTAGATTGATTTCCAGAATGTTAAAAAAAAGATTTAAAGTAACAAAAGAAAAAGAATTTCAAAAGAAAAAGAATGTAAAAGTCTTCAGAAATGTAAGCCATTTTACTGTACTCCATGTATACTACAATCTACAACTTAGAATGGAGCCCTTTCAATCACCATCTGGAAATGAAACATGGTGGTGATTTTACTTCAATAAGTGATAGAAAGTAAAATCTAGGCATTTATATATAGTGCTTAATAAAACGTATCATCTGATCTTTTCCTTGTGAGTTCACTTACCAATCTTAGCAAATATCAATCTTCTGGTTCAATAACCTTTCACCTCTTGAGCAACTTACCTCGGACGGTGAGGGTGGCGGAGGACTCCACCTTTCCCACTCGGTTCTCAGCAATGCACAGGTACGTGCCTTCATCTGTGCTCATGGCCTTCTTAATTCTCAGCGTGTAATCATCCCTGATGTCATACCTGTGTCGAAAGAGAAATGGTTTTATTAACTTAGCTTAATTTTAAAAAGAATAATGTCAATATGCTGCCTAAATTAACACAAGACATACAGATAAAATGTTCAACCATATCAGTACAATGATTTCAGTGACTGGTAAACAAGTATAATTATTTCAATTAAATAATAAAACTCATGAATTTAACAATTTATCCCTAGCTCTTGCTTACCAATGACCTACATTTGGTAAATGTGTACAATGCTTGCCCCTTTGGAATTCTCAAACATATTTGCACCACAACTTTCCTTTGGGCAGTTTCTATTTATTTATTTTAAATATGTAGTCACTGCGGGAAAGGAGGGACATGCAGTCGGGGATAGTGGGCCCCTGCCCTCTGGTTGCCTTTCCAAAGGCCTGGAATGACCACTGCTGGACCTGAGCCAAAGCAAGGAGTGGGGGAATCCCAGCCTAGTTCCCCCATGTAGTGGCAATGATGCAATAATTTGAGTCTTCACCTCCTACCTGCTCAGTTGTGCCTTGGCAATGAGCTGGGATCAGGAACTACAGAAAAAAATTGAATGCAGGTACTTGGATGTGGGCCATGCATCCTAAAAGGGGTCTTAGCTTCTACCATTTATCAAAAGTTTTTCTTAGTGATTTATTTTCTATTTTTGTAATTTAAAATGCGTTCACAAACCTGTTTTATTTGTAATTTTTTATTTTATATTCAGCATTTTATTAAGTATAACTGCTACCAATATAACTGCTATAAACCATCAATGTTGGGCCCGGCGCGGTGGTGCAAGTGGTTAAAGGTCCTCGCCTTGCACACCCGGGATCCCATATGGGCGCTGGTTCTAATCCCGGCGGCCCCGCTTCCCTTCCAGCTCCCTGCCTGTGGCCTGGGAAAGCAGTCTAGGACGGCCCAAAGCCTTGGGACCCTGCACCCGCGTGGGAGACCCAGAAGAGGCTCCTGGCTTCGGATCGGCATAGTATCAGCCCGTTGCGCTCACTTGGGGAGTGAATCACCGGACGGAAGATCTTCCTCTCTGTCTCTCCTCTCTGTATATCCGCCTTTCCAATGAAAAAATAATAAAAATAAATCTTTAAAAAAAATTAAAAAAAAATAAAAAATAAACCATCAATGTTCTTTTGAGCATTGGGACAATATAATCACATTTAATTTTCTTTTTTAATTTAATATTTCACTTTTTAGTTAACATATTTCTATTCTATCTTATAGTCAAAGGCTAACCGGCTCTAATAAGTAAACAATTCAACACATACAAAGCACAAATACCATAGTTCAACAGAAAATTAGGTAAGTACCCTAAGTAATAACTGAAAGAAAACATTTTCAGCTTCTCTCATATAGATCTTAAAAGTTACAAAATCATTAAAACTCTAGTATCATAAAATTCCTATAAATTTGTTTGACAAATATTCAAATCTATATTTGACAAAGCACTATTGTTTGAAAATATCGGCACACATATGTATTATCTCAATTTCATTTTGTTAACAAGTCGATTCACAAAAAGATTCAAGAAAAATTTTAAAATGTTACCATGAATTTTCTGGGATTATACATCTAGGAGAATTAGAAATTAGGAAATTGCAATCACATAAATAATGAAGCTTTTTCCATTCTTTTATTATGTCTGCCTCTGATATTTCACTAGTGGCTTTACTGAAAGATGTTTTGCAATTGCTTCAGATTGGTCACATTGTATTTCTCCCTCTGACAAAGCCAAGTTTTTTCTGCTTTCAAGTTATTATTTTAATTGCTTCTTTCTGTTCAGAATTAGCCTTGATTTTCCATTGTTTCATTACATCATAGACCCTATGGGGTTTGTGTTTAAAACTACTATAATCTGATGTCTTGTACTTCTATCTTTAGCAAAAAGAACAGCACAACTTAATTGTAGTGAAGTCCAAGATACAGACTTTGTAGTAGTACTTTCATGTTCTTTTTTTCCATTTTCCCCACTCTTCTCTTTTTTTAAAATTATTATTATGCCCACGTACTTTCATTTTCATAAGGGTTTACATGACAATATGCCACTAGAGTGCCAACTAAACTTACTACCTGGGCTCCTCCACCCTTTAATTCCATAGTTCTATCTTTGTGTGTGTGTTTGCTTTACATTTCTGCTTACTTTTTATGCCATAAATCATTAGCAGAGACTCAATGAAGATTGCTGTTTGAAGCCTTCCATTATAATGCCCTGCTAATCTATTACTGCACAGAAATCATTGGTTTAATTTTAAATGCTTACTTATGATATATAAGACACTGTTAATGAAACTGCTAACTAGATCTTGACAATAGAATGCTGGATTCTCTGCTATTGTCTATGCCCACAATGATGGACATATGACTGTGCATGAAGAACTATACTAAAGTAATAATACAGTAGTACTACTCAGTGTGTAGGGAGAAAACTTGAGGATGGATGAAGGGAAAACACAGGGCCTACTTAACTGCTCCATAAAATGAAAATATTAATAAAAAAGAAGTTTAAAAAGCCCCTTACAAAAATGGGATAGAAATAGAATTAATATACTTAAATATGCAGACATTTATCTGTTCAATAAATATTTATACTATCTAACAAATATTTATCTGACAATTTCATGAAGGATAAATGACATGTCAGAGAGCTGAGTGAGATGTGAGACAGATTGAACCAGTCTGCTGTATATACTGGCAAGCACAGGGATCAGAGTTGGGGGTGGGTCTGGTGAGGGTTATTGTGGGTCACTCTTACTACATTGCAGTTCCCACTCGTGTACTGTGGGAACTGTGAGGGTTAAGTGTGGAGTGGGCTGGGTTGGTCTGGGTCAAAGTATCTGGCTTCTGTAAGAGATGGAGCTGGAGACAGAATTGACCCAGCAATTGCAACCAGGGTGTGCATTGGCTGATGTGGGAGTCAGGCTGAGCCAGACCAGATACTGGCAAATACAAACAAGAGTCAGGTCTGGGATAACCTCAGGCTGGACTCAGAACTCCAACCATTGGGAGAATTGCAGAATTTCTGGACTTACTGTGGAGTGCATGTGTCAGAACTGGACCTCCTAAATGACTAAAAAAGAGCAGTGGATAGCATGCTCAGATCCACATGGAGGGCATGGCAGTCCATTGGGGCCTGTTATGGATATCTGATGCAGTAATAAATAAAGAAGGGCAGAACAAAAAGGACAGCTACCCCCAGCCAAGAGTTTACAACAAATATCTGGACAAACAGAGACTCTAAGTTGGACTATGTTAGCAATGAACCTTGGAAGGATTCCTCATCAATGCATTAGCAAGATCAACAGCATTTCAGAATTATCAAAACCACTTAAGCAGAAACCTCAGAATATGCTCCACATTGGAGACCATGGGATGATGTTTTGGTGGATGTTCCCCATCCACAAGGAGAGTTGGTTGGCAGGCTAGGTGTGGCTTCTCCCTTTATCTTCCCTCTCCCCCTCCCCCAGATACAGGAAAAGGAAAATGAAAATTTGGACAATAGTAGTCTAACCCACTTTCCCTTAACCCTTGACCGTTTCCACCCTGCTCTAATAGGTTAACATTATCAAAAGTAAAAATAAATAGTAATTAAAACGAAAGTTACTTAAGCAAATTTACTTAAATGCCACAGAATATTTAAATATTTAAATTTACCTAAATATTGGAGACTTTCTCCAGGTTAGTTTTTTATTCCTGAAATTTGACATGCACATGTTTCAGACATCCATATTCTGCGTCTCCCTGATTAGAAACAATTGCTACAAGGTCCTAATGCTACACTATTCTACCAAACGTAGATGTTGTAATTAAAAATAAAATCCAGGGTTGGACACTGTGGTAAAAAGAAGCAAGTCTCTGTTTGGGATCCCAGCTACTCCATGTGTTTCTGATCCAGCTACCTGTTAATGGAATGCAAAGCCATAGATAGTGACCCAAATAATTGGGTTCCTGTCATCCACATGGAAGGAATAGATTGAGTTTCTGGCACCTGACTTAGACCTGGTCTTAGCTGTTACAGACATTTGGAGGAATAAGTTAGTGAGTGGAAAATCTCTTTCTCACTGTCTCTTTCTTTCTCTGTCATTCAGCCTTTTGAATAAATAAAAATTTGCCAGATTTAAGTCTGCACATATTATCAACATTATTAATCCTAATTTACATGATTAAAGATAAAGAAAACAATTACATTCTCCCTTGATGCAACGATCCATCAAAACTTGAATCCTGTAAGCAATATACAACCAATCATCCCTTTAGCTACACTTTGCATAACCAGCATTAGATCTTCTATGTATGACAACAAAATATTTCTTCCAAAACTCCCTTCCAAAAACACCATCACCTGTGTCAAACACAGAAATTTACTTTATGCAGCAACAAAGCCTTTTACACTGGGACCTTTTTATGAATTATCTCATTCTTAGGTAAAATATTCCCAACAACAACCACCCACATAGTAGTATGGTAGCTATATAACTGAAGAGTTTAGAGAAACATTGAAAGCATCAGTCCAAAATTCTCTGATAATTCTGATTATATCTCTCCACTCTTTGAAACTATCTAAAGGCTCTTACTGCAGTCACTGAAAATAAAATCTATTTCTTTCTGATGTTCAAAGCTATAGGTAAACTGGCTCTTACTGATCTCTCCAATTTCATTTTCACCCTAGTCTAGTCTCATGGATCTTCCCTGTCTTGCTTGGCTTAAGTAGGCAGTTGCTACAAGGTCTTCATCTGAAAAATGAACAAATTCTTGGAAAGCTCCTCTCAGCATTCTCATGTTAACCTCATTGCCTCCAGGTTCGATCAAATAAAGTTTCTTCAAAGATGCTTTCTCTTACTGAGTGATAGAAGTTATGCCCTCCACTGTCTCTCAAGCTTTAACTTACTTTAAATTCTCCAATTCTCTCTGTTACAACTAGAGGCCCCATTTTTCCTTCCAAAATCATTACAGCACAGTCTAACTCTCTGCCTTGAATCTCATGGTGCCTTTTCAGTGTTCAACAT